GATACACAGACTACACACGTCCCCTGGTGATCACAAGTTCAGACCAACCTGCACCACAGTAGTCCTCGAGTGCTCCTTCACGGTTTCAGACCCGCGGGCACACCCAGAATTTCCTCAGTGCAGTACGTGGTATAGAAAATGGTTGTTTTAGAAATGATTTGATTTTTTTTATTTGTTTTAAATAAGCTTGTTTTAAATTTGATATATATATATATATATTTTTTTTTAAAATAAATTTGTTTAAATATGATTTGGTATATTTTAAAATAAATTTGTTTAAATATGATTTGGTATATTTTAAAATAGTTTGTTTTAAATATGATTTGATTATTTTTAAAATAAGAAATATGATTTGATTATTTTTAAAATAAATTTGTTTTAAATATGATTTGACTATTTTTAAATAAGTTTGTTTTAAATATAATTTTTTTTTAATTTTAAAAACAAGTTTGTTTTAAATGTTTTTTTTTGTTTTAAGGAAGTTTGTTAGAGGAATTTCAAATCTAAAATAAAATAAAATTTTATTATTTTATTATTATTATTATTATTATTTCTCGTTTTAGTTTTATTTTTTTAACATTTTTTTTAATAAAGATTTGTATAATAAGAATTAATATTAAGTTGTATCATATGGTGTTGGTATAGTGGTAGGTTACTTAGGAGTAATTCACACGTCTTAGGGTTCGAGTCTTTGTTTGCCTAAATTAATATTTTTTTTATATCATTATTTTACCAAACAACTATTTTAGATAAAATGTTTTTTTTTTAATTTTAAAAAAAACTTATAAAATATTAAGTAATATCTTAGGATGTTGGCACATTGGTAAGAAATTTGTATATGGACTCTCACATCACAAGTTCAAGTCTTGATGGCCTTTACGCTAAAATTGTTTTTTATTTATTAATTTTTCTTTTTTACCAAATAATTATTTCGAAAATCCCAATGACAGAAATTGGATCTTTCCAATATTCTCGAGGTGATAATTTGTAGACCAAGTTTTTTTAAATAGGTGACCAATCACACCTCGTAGATGATTGGTGGCGACTCCAAACCTTTATCTCGAAAGAGACCCTTCCCCTCGTCGGCCGCTCCGCGTCGCAATGACGTTGCGACAACATCTATTTTTTATCGTTTATTTCGAATACTCACTGACATAACAATCTACTTTTGGAGCAGCTTATTTACTAATCCATGCTCGAATTAGTTATTAGAAGTATTTTCTATTACTAAAATATCGAAATCCAACTTATTAGATTATTTAAAATATTAAAAATAAATTTTATAGTGTAATATTTTATTTTAATAAAACAAAATTTTGAAAATCACTTGAATTGAAAATTTTAGTTTATGTTCGATTTCAAAAAATTGATTAGGGTTGCTCTAACAAAAAAAAAATGATTAGGGCTAATATTCTATTCAAGTGCAATTGAACTTTTCTACCTTGTTATCTTGGAATTTAATTTATTTTCACTATTGACAAAGTCGTTTGATAAATTTAAATAAAAATGTGATAATAAAATTTATAAGTATATGAATTAAATTCAAATTAAGGTGTCAACCTGAGCCTAAAAAAAAATCAAATTAAGATACGAGCGCAAAAGTATTTTAATGGTTAAAGTATCTCTACTTTGTAGATTTGGACTTTCGTTTTTTTTTGTTGGTGGTTTTTTTTTTGCAAAAGTATTTTAATGGTTAAAGTATCTCTACTTTGTAGATTTGGACTTTCGTTTTTTTTTGTTGGTGGTTTTTTTTTTTTAAATAACTTTTGAATTAAGGTTCAAATACAATGAAGAAAGATGTAATTGAGTGGGGGTAATAGGAAAATTCATGTTGATTGGTGATCATAGAGTATTATTTAATATTTTAGTTAAATTACAAGTGAAAAATGCAGAATGACTAAATTAAAAAAATACATGTTGTTGCAAACAAATTAAAAATAACGTTTTGGGTTAGATTTGTGGACAAAAGAAAGTAATATTTTATAGACTAAACTATAATAAAGGAAATTTAGTGGACAAATAACTAAAATAAATATATAAGAATTCAACCATCAAAATAAGAATCAAAATCTCAAATAAAATAACAAATAAATCCTCAAATATTCAAACTCACGTGGTCGACATCTTTTAGGAGGAAGAATATTTCAAGTCTTCAAGTATATAGACTATTTCGTAAATACTAATTTATCTCATTTCTATATATTTAATCTGTTTGACTACTGTGTTAGAACGATTTCTCATCAATCACGTGTTGGCATAAAGTACGACTAACAATCACGAGTAGAAATTTGAGTTTTCGTGACGTTTAGAAAATGTCACGAAATTCTTTGGTGATGTTTTTTACGACGTCACCTATGTCTCCATCACGAAAAGTATTTGTGACCTTTAAATTAACGTCACAAAAAGTGGAATTTGTGACAGTTTAAAAATGTCACGAAAAATAGAAGTTTTTGTGACGGTTATAAAACGACACGAAAAATAGATTCTGTGACGTTTTTTAAACCTCATGATAAAAGATATTTCACGACGGATTTAGATTTCATGACGATTAAAAAACGTCATAAAAAGGAATTTCGTGGCTAAAACATGTCACGAAAGACAAATTTTATGACGTTGAAAAAACGTCACGAAGTCCATTTTTCGAACAATCCCAAGAGGCCAAGTCGAATGATTGGAGACAGTCGCGACTCATGTTTCGTGCAAGCTGACCTAAGTCTCACACCTCGGTCGTCTGAGTTATCAGCTGATTGAGCTGAGCTCAAATCTCTACATCGAATGTTTGAGTTATTAGTCGAGCCGATCAAATGACACTTTTGCAGGAATGTAATTTCGACATCATTTACAACAATATGTCGCTATTCTCCGACTATCGGAGAGCCATTGGAGGCTTGTCGGAAGTTCCATCTATAAATAGATACATCCCACCTCATTCTTGGGTACGTGAAATTATATTATTTCTCGAGTATAGATCAGTTAGTTGTTGTGTAAAATGCAGTCAACTAATCTCAATCACAAATGCAGATAATATTTGTTAGCTAATCCCAAATTAGGTTTTAGTTCCAATTAATGCGAAATTCAATTTTGAAATTGGAACTTACAACTTAAAAGATTAGATAAAATAGTCTAAAACTTCTAAGTAACAAGAACGATACAGATA